AGAAGTTTTAAAGCAGGGTTAGGTTATAAAAAATATCTTAAGCTTTGATTGTCTCACGGAGCACTGTTCAATCCATCATTCCGAAAATGGAAAGAGTATGGCACAACTACAAACCTAACAAGACATGGCTGTCCACCTAAACTGACAAGCTGGGGAAAGAGAGCATTAATCAGAGCAGCAGCCAAGAGACCCATGGTAACTCTGAAGGAACTGCAGAGATCCACAGCTCAGGTGGGAGAATCTGTCCACAGGACAACTATTAGTCGTGCACTCCACAAATATGGCCTTGATGGAGGAGTGGCAAAGAAGAAAGCCATTGTTGAAAGAAAGCTATAAGAATTCCCGTTCGGAGTTTGCGAGAAGCCATGTGGGGGACACAGCAAACATGTGGAAGAAGGAGCTCTGGTCAGATGAGACCAAAATTGAAATTTTTGGCCTAAAAGCAAAGCGCTATGTGTGGCAGAAAATTAACACTGCACATCACCCTGAACACACCGTGAAACATGGTGGTGGCAGTATCCTGTTGTGGGGATGCTTTTCTTCAGCAGCAACAGGGAAGCTTGTCAGAGTTGATGGGAAGATGGATGGCGCCAAATACAGGGCAATCTTAGAGGAAATCTTGTTAGAGTCTGCAAAAGGACAATGGCCCTAAACATACAGCTAAAGCTACAATGGAATGGTTTAGATCAAAGCATATTCATGTGTTAGAATGGTCCAGTCAAAGTCCAGACCTAAATCCAATTGAGAATCTGTGGCAGGACTTGAAAATTGCTGTTCAAAGGCGCTCTCCATCCAAGCTGACAGAGCTTGAGCTATTTTGCAAAGAAGAATGGGCAAAAATGTTACTCTCTAGATGTGCAAAGCTGGTAGAGACATCCCAAAAAGACTTGCAGCTGTAATTGCAGCGAAAGGTGGCTCTACAAATAATTGACTCGGGGGATGAATACAAATGCACGCCACACTTTTCAGATATTTATTTGTAAAAAATGTTGAAAACCATTTCTCATTTTCCTTCCACTTCACAATTGTGTTCCACTTTGTGTTTGTCTATCACATAAAATCCCAATGAAATACATTTACATTTTTGGTTGTAACAGGACAAAATGTGGAAAATTTTAAGGGGTATGAATACTTTTTTAAGGCACTGTATTTTCCAAACTATTCGTATACTGCTACCCTTCAGCAGAGATTACACTCCTTCCTCTGGAATAACAAGCACCCAAGAATATGAAATTAGACTCCTCCCAAATCTTACAGACATATAGGTCTTCCTGATATCCAGAAATATTACTAGGCCCTTCATCTGTCTTGAGATTGGTCCTGTCATTTTTTTGTTGAAAGTCTGGACAGACCTTGAACAGACCTTCTCTTCATACCAGGCCCTGGCTATGAAAGATCAACATACCCCTGACCTTGATTCACACCCTCTGATTAGAGCCACCCTTCACACCTTTAAAGGATAAATTCACCTTTTAACAAAAAATAATGATTGCACATTTTTTTGCAGGTAAAAAAATGTTTCATTTATTTTTTGTTTGTGGAGCCTCTAAAGTGTTGCATCAGCGATCAACAGAATGCTGGTGCCATGCAGGTCTCTCCCTGGCCTGTCAGTATATCTGCATGCTCATACATTCCGTACGGGCAAGCAGATACTTACCGACAGGAAGGCCCAATGAACTAGTTCATTGAAAACTACAAACTGACCACCGCAAAGGTTGTTGAAACTTGTAGGTTTCTCATTCACAGAATACTGTGAATGAGTGACAAGGCTGGACGGGCAGAGCCCCACACAGTCACATTTTAAAAAAAATTGTGACGCTACTGGGGAGGAGAAGATCTCTCACTAGCTGTCACAACGGGGAATGGATCTAAATCTGACACTCTCAGAAGATAACTTGGAGAGCATAAGCACAAACCTTCTCAAGGGATCCATGAATATTAATGAGCTTCAAAGTAGATGGTATCACACTCATGACACGTCCACAGAACACTTTACCTACTACTCCAGACCAGTGTGGGAGGTGCCTACAGGATAGGGGTACCCTCCTACATATTTGGTGGTCCTTCCCACAAATTCGCCCTTCCTGGGCCCAGGTCCATAACCTGATTAAGAACATCTCAGAGCTCACATTTAATCCTACCTCATTCCTGCTTCACCACATGGGCATGTCACACTAAACACTCTCTTCATCTAAATTTACTAAATGCTGCAAAAATGCTCATATCCAGACAAATTTGACTAAAACACCTGAACTCTCAGACTGGTTTTGTAGAATAGACCAGGTAGTTGAAATGGAGGAACTGGTGCACATGAGCAAGGAGAACATATCCTCATGTGCAAAAATCTGAACGGATGCTTGCTTTTCAAAGACCCTGATCTATACAAGCAGCACATGCCTCACCTGCCTGCTTGACTTTACTTCTGTCACCCAGGGAATTAACCAGTTCCATCCATGATTCAAAGAGACCCACATTTCTAGATGCCTCTCCTCTTTCCCCTGTCCCTCACCAGCCCTTATCCCCTCTTCTTCTCTCAACCCCCCCCACACACATTTTTTTTTTTTTTCTCCTCTCACCCTTTTTTCCTCTCATTCTATCTTCTTTCTCCTTTTACAAGACTTCCCTGCGCTGATTTTCCATTTTTAGCTTAGCATTCAGATAGCATGAACACCTATCATTTACACAGGCTTAAAGTGGAACTTCACTCTTTGTCATCATGGACTATTTATAATCCTTATGGTCCTTTTGGCATTAGTAATTTGATAGGAAGGTATATTATTTTTACTTGTTATAAACTTTTTTTTACATTTCTTCAGTTACTTCCTGGTTTCCATGTCTAGGAAAATGATGTCATACATCTCAGGAGTCTTCAAGAGAAAGGGAGGGTTCTCAGCAAATCCTATGTCTGAGCTAAGGGCAGGTGGATTCCAGGAAGTAAATGATACATGAATTGTCTGCCCTTACTCAAGATGGCTATTGCCAGAAACACCAGGGGGTGTTTTTCAAAATGGGGGGTGTTTGAAAATAAAGCATGGAGAAATGGATGGATGGGGGAGTTTCCCTTGAATATTAAAATTTAATTAAATTGTATTTTTTTGGTTTGTGGTGCTTAGATGCAGTGCAGTTCACCTTTTAAAGACGGGACATGGTTCCCTGATTTACACTACCTTGATCACTCACCTACCCTCAATGATATTAATCCCAAATGTACACACACACTTTTTTTTTTTTTTCCCTCTATCCCTGTTCCCACTACCTTACTCATAACATAGTACTACCTCTGCCTGGTCCTGGCTGCTGCTTTGCTTTTACCTGCCAACTGTTCATATGGTCTTTCGGGGTACCTCCCCCAGAATGCCTGCTCAAGCAGCCACATACGCGTCACCTCCACATTGTATTTTATGCTAAAATGTGTATCTTCTTGCAAAACTAAGTATCAGACTCAAGTTGTTATGTTTCTTAGTTCTATGTAATCCAATTTTCCAGCTCATAACATGTGCTGAAAATATGGAAATAGGATGCATTTATTAACTTTCTGTACTGGACTCCAGTGTGAATGCTATATGCCCTCCCAGCAGCACTGTAAGAAGCTTTTCTATAAAGAATTTTTTTTTTTTTCTTAAATGAGGCTTTCGTTGTACCCACCCATCTGTTGTCTAATTGCTCTGCACAAATTTGTATATCATACATAATATCGAGATGCAGTACCTTTTTTCGCTCACTTCTTTTTTGTGTTCAAAATTAACAGGCATTCCTAAAAGGATTGTAATAGTTTCCCTCTGATATTCTCAATAAAATTATATGCAATAAAAAAGATTAAACTGTGTCCGTTTAAATAGAAAAACAATATCACTAGGCTGAACATTGTGTTCGTTTACTAACCGGCAAAAAACAAAGACACAAAAAATTGTAAGGCCTTTCACATTGCTGCTGCCTAAAAACAAAACTTTTAGGCACACAGGCATTTTTGTTTTTTTGAGTGCTCTGAATGCAACACATTGTTTTCAATAGGCCTGGACGCAAAGGTGCGTAAACATGTGCAGCGTATAGATGAGTAAAAAAAGAAATGTGAGTTGACGATCAGTATTTTAAACGTGTACACTCATATGCTCACAACTACATGAAAAAATGTTCTTTTAAAGACGTAAAATTCTATTCAGAGAGCTGTAATTCATTTTACTCTAATATATGTGTGCACACAAACACGTATTAAATAAACATTAGCAATTTTGACCAGGAATACTCATGTTCAAACATCAGTAACCATGGCAAGCACCCTAAATGGGCAACACATTTGGAGCCCTGAAATATTTTTTTTTTTCTACCTCCTGGCATGTGTGGGAAATGTATAAGTGGTTTACCTATGTGTGTCCTGACTTGCAATGCTTGTATGTATGTGAGGAAGGGTTAGTAGTAGTTGTTTTGTGGTGGTGGTGTGTTTTTTTGTTTTTTTTAATTATTTATATAATATACAGTATATGCACATTTTCATATTTTGCTACTATCACAAGGGGACTGATAAGTCCTCTACGCGATAGAAATGACATGTTCTCTTTATGAAGATTCCTGACATCTTCCCTGTTATTGGTTGATGCAGATTGTGAGCCCCCACAGCATGCTGTGAATGCATGAGCCGTGCTGCACCCCATGGTGTCTGTTGACGTATGTCAAGGGGCTGCAGGGAGAAGTTTGGGGGCTCAAACTTTCGATCGCCTAGGCAGTCAGAGTGGAAATTGTAGCAGGTACTTGTCAAAATCAAGTATTCCCCCCCCCCCCCCCCCCCCCCCCCCAAAAAAAAATATATTCCAGATCTGGAAGAAGAAGAGGGAGGACTAGGAAGAGAGGAACTTCCACCTTCTGCTTTAACTTATACGAGGCCTTTTAATAATGCTGGGTTTAGCACAAGACATTTTGTTATCTAGGTGTCCCCTCATACTTCCAGGTTTTGTTAATACACACAGTTATGTGGTATAAACTATGGACTTTTTTTTTTCTTGCAGTCGGGCAGTGTCCAACATTCGTCCACTTCTCGACTCAGGAACAATGGGGACGAAGGGACACACAGAAGTGATTGTGCCTCAATTAACAGAATCCTACAACAGTTATGTAAGTAGTAAAGCATTTAATTAAAGTTTTATAGTAATTTGAATCCCTTGTTGATTTTTCATATTTTTAGGTTCTCGTGTAGTACAATGTCCCGACAAGGGCAATATTCTTCTTACTCATTCTACAGGGAGTCTCTGTATGTTTCATATTGAAAAATTTTTTTTTTTTTCCCGAGATAAACTTTTACACAGACGTTCTATGTGCTCCTTTTTTTTCAACCTTTGGGCTGGTTAATTGACACCCTCTAAATGCTGAGTTTGAAAAAACACCTCTAGACTACCTAATGTGCAAAATATCATTAGTTGTTTCTACTGGCAAAACGCTAAAACTCCTCCTCCTGTAGGAGCAGCGTTTTTTTTTGTTTTTTTACCAATGTGCATGGAGCCTGAAAAAGGACAGGAGGTGGTGGTAGCTAGCAAATTATTTGCAGACAATTAAAGATTTGGGATTGGGAGAGTTAGCTGCACATCAAGAAAGTAATACTGACTACTTAGAGCTAGTACTGTAATATGTCTACAGTTCACCTCCATCTGTATTATCTGTCTGCAGAGATTATGTAAACATTTGCACAGGCTTGCATATTTAAGTCTTGAAGGTGACTTTTGAGATGTTTATACAATAGAGAACCTTTGACACATTTATGGTGAACTCTCTTTTTGAATGACCAAAGTGACTTCTACACACACCTTTTTTTTTTTTTTTTTTTTTTTTTTTTTTTTGTTTTTGCAGATTTACCATCAGGAAATAGCCCCCTCCCCCAAAAATAAATAGATAAATCATCAAAATTCTTACTATTTTGAAACATCTATTTATGTGGTAGCTCCTCCGTGATTGAGCAATGATAGCAAATATTTGTGCTGTCTAAATATGATATTGGGTAGCAAAGACCATGAAATATGCAGTGTTACCATGTTGCAAGTATGTGTACCGAACAGCTGATACCGCTTTGCTGACAGAAGAAGCAGAGAATCCTATATTTTTTTTTTTTTTTTTTCAGCAGGAGAAAAAGGACATTGTATACCAATGCAAAATAGGAGTTCTAATAATTTCCCATACAGAATAAAGAACTAACCCAATGAGCATGGTACATGAATTAGAAGTGTATAAGGGAGCAAATCAGCAGAAGACCTAATGAAGCTTAGACAAATTTAAAGTGTAAATCGAGACTCCCCTGTAAACATAGAGCATGTCAACAACAATTCTTTTCCTGTTGATAATCAGTTTCATGAAGGCAAAAAGTTGGGAGAAACAACATAAGAAAGAAAGAATAGGATGTAAATAGCATAGTGGAAGAAAAGATTAGACCTAGAGATCTCCACCACATACTCTGCTATTGAGCTTTTTGCAGACCAGTTTTTTTTTTATTCAGTAGAATTCATCTGAAGTTATTTACCACATTCCATAGATTGTTTGATTGCCATCGAATCCTGTTTACATGCCAGATATTAGGCAACTGGTGTCCTTCTTCTTTTTTTTTTTTTTTTTTTTTTTTTTTTTTTTTTTTTTGTATATGCGCCAAGCATGTTATGGCAAACTTCTAAAAAATCATATGTGGTACATCTGTGAACATTTCCCCATGTTTATCTCCTGAAGACCCCATTCACACTTGTGCAACTTTTCGTGCAACTTTGGACACTGAAGTTGCTGTAACTTGTCATGCAACTTCGAAGTTGTTCATGCACTTACTTTGGTCCAACGTTCATGCAACCTAAGGTCCATAGACTTCAATGTTAACTCTCAAAAGCTGCATGAAAGGTGTACCTGTCATGTAACTGTGGGTCCAATTTTGGGACAGGTCACATCCAAAGTTGCGTCAAAATTGCACCCCAAAGTCACACAACTTTGGAGTCGTACAAATGTGAATGGAGCCTAAGGCTTCATTCATACAGCCATAAAAGCATATAGAGGTGTTTTTTAATTACGGATCTAAATGCAGGCTCATTGTATACAAGCCAATCAATAGTGCGACTTGTCAACAATCAGGGTGCCCATAAATGGATCAAAATGTTTCCATATTTGTAGCTGTGTGTCAAACAATACTGAAATATTTACACAGCCAGAAGGTGTACAGTCACAGGTTAGATCTTTATCTTGGTTCCATGTTAAACAATTTTACTGATTTTCCAATGTAGCGGGATCCTCCTGATGAAGAAATTCCGTTTTGCACTTTAAAGTCATTTCCAGCAACCATTGAGCACACAATTCAGTGGGCAAGAGACAAGGTATTGTGATAATGAGTAATGATTACTTTTTTTTTTTTTTTCTTTTTAATAAATTGTTTTCTTAAAGTATGTAAGATATATGTATGTAACATCCTTCCCAGAGGACTTTAACTCTGGGGGTATATTAGTTCCTCCCTCCAGTAGTATTATGGTTTTCTGAATGGGGAGATCCCCATATTTCCATGTTGTGCCATTACAGGCCCGAGGGTATATTCAGTAATCTAACATTAGCTGATATTATTAGAAAATATACTGTATAGAGGTGATATCATTGTTGGTGGTGGGATTAGGCTAATTTAAGTTTGTTTCTGGGGACAAGTTGTCTGGACATGCTGCCCAAATTGAAGTGAATTTAGAGGTGCAGTCTGTTTATTTTTAGAAGTTTTTTGTATAACGATAGGCTGGCAATGATTAATTTTTCCAAAAAAAGAGCACCTTACTATTTATGATGGATTTTTTTTTTACTCCATAGGAATATTGTAAAATTGTATAACTGCAAGACCGCACCCTTGTCTAGCAGCGTGATCATTCTTTTCCTTTAAAAGCTCCCTCATTCTCTTGAGACCAAAAAGTTTTAAAGCATACCAGTTTTACAGATTGTCTAAACTATTTATTTTGTTTTTGTTTTGTTTTTTTCTGCTTTTCCGATTTTAGTTTGAGAGTTCTTTTTCACATAAGCCTTCATTGTACAACAAATTCTGGCAGACACATGCATCTGTAGAAGACGTTTTACAGGTATGTACAGAAAATAGTATTTACATGCACATTTATCACTCCGGAAGGTAATGAAAAGTTACTTAACCTTAAACCTAAACTGCTACTTAAAGTGGTTGTGAAGGTTCAAGGTTTTTACCTTCATGCATTATTTGCGTGAAGATGAAAACCCTTCTGTGTACAGCAGCCCCCCTAATATTTACCTGAGCCCCATCACGATCCAGCGATGTGCACGAGAGCCTTGGCTGTCTAGGGACTTTCTTTCCTCATTGGCTAAGACATTGGTTTCCGCTCCTGTCATTCACAGCCAGTGAGCCAATGAGGAGAGAGAGAATGGGCAGGACCGACCTGCTGCTGTCTGTGCTTGGGACTGAGCCTGTTTGGGTTCCACCATAGCAAGCTGCTTGCTCTGGGAGGCACTCTGCAGGAAGGAGGGGCCAGGAGCACCAGCGTGGGACCCAAGAAGAGGAGGATCAGGGCTGCTGTGTGTAAAACCATTACACACACACAGCAGGTAAGTATAACATGTTTGTTTGTTTTTTTTATTGCCTTTTTAATATCACTTTAAATGAAACCTGTAATAATAGGTTTATGGGGAATGCTAGAAAATGAGAAACAAAAAGGGTGCAAATGCCTAGCACATTATCCACAACACTTTAATAAGATGTGACAGACTACACATATATACTAAAAAGCCAAATAGAAAAGAAGGCATGACAGAAACACAGTTCCAAAAGGTCAGCTCTCCAAAAGCCACAAGTGTATAGATGACAATATCAGCTTACGCATTCTGGGGAACAGGCACCTTTCCTCAGAGCAAGGGAAAAAAAAAAAAATGCCATGAAGAATAATGCGATGTATGACTTGATTTTGGTCCATGCCAGGAACCAGGAAGCAACTGAGGAAATGTATAAAAACAAAAGTTTAAAGTGTTACTAAACCCACAACAGTAAAACTAGTCTTAATATGCAGTAAAGCATGCATGTTATACTCCCTGTGGAATCTAAGGGGTAATCCTCTGCATTGTGTAAAAACGCTATTTGATCCTGACTTCTCTGATCCTCCCCTTCTTCCAGTGCCCCCCCCTCTTATCTCTTGATAAGACCTATCCTGTGGAGACACACTTCACATGTTCAGTTTGGTGTGTATTGCTAGAGAGGTTTTGTTTTTTTTTTTTTTCTCTTGGGAGAGTTCATGTTATCAGCATGAGATCATGATCACTCCAGTATCAAACGTGACAAACTGTAGTGCTTCAAAACAGAGTGCTCGAAAAAAGACATTCCTCCAAAGAAAGATGGCTCACATGGATTCACACCAAACTCACAAAATTGAGTTGACCCCTTGTTTTTAGCAAGCAAGTCAAATAGGCGTGTGTACATAAGACCAGGGATGTGCATCTTTCATTTCTTCCGCAGATCCTCCTTCGCCTCTTTAGCATTCATATACCATCTCCCCAAAACTGCATCTCATGCCAGATGTTTTCCACATAAACCATATAAAGAAAGGTGAAAGTATGTTTATTAAGTAAAAAAAACTGATTGTGCTGTACTTGCAAGAAAAAAAAATGTCAGCCTGGCTTCTGAGGATGTCAACTTTTGATGCCGAAACGTGTAGGGAGGTACTTCCGGAGGCTATCTTGGGTGAGGGCGCCTTCCGAATTTATTACTTTATATATTTACATTATTAGATTTTTATAGTATAATTTATATAGGTGCATGAAAAGATGATTTTTTATTTTTTATTTTAGTGTTACTGTCAGTTCTATGTAATAATGGCATCCTTATTTCCTATTCTTTATTGCAGAGAATACAAACTGGTGAAAGCTTAGAAGGCTGCTTCCATATTGTTAAGCTACTGAGCAGGAAACCCAGGAATTGGTCTCAGTGTGTAGAATTGGCAAGGTTAAAGTTTGAAAAATATTTTAATCACAAGGTTGGTGAGCAGTATAGATGTACAGTATATCCCTTCCTAAGAGTCAATCTAGAATTTATTTTGTGTGTGCCTGTCAGTGTGTGCGTGTATATGTCTGTGCACATATATATTTTTAATTGTATTTGTTTTCATGTGAACATCCCTTCAATATACTCTTTGAGAAAACATACCCCTTATGCAGCTGACATCATTATGGTTATTCCTGTGATGATGGAGTTTTTAGGCTGTTTAATGTAAAATAACTATTTTTTTGTACAGTGTTTTAAAAGTCTTTAATGCAGTTTGACTTTTTTTCTAAAAAATTAGGTGTTTTGATATGCACACGCTTCATAGTAACACTCTACACTCTGAGAGTAAGCATCCAGTAAAATGTCTTCTCTAAAATAGGTATACATAAAAAACACAGTAGTCTGCTGTATAAATCACTTTTAAATCTCTTGTGCTGATGGTAATTGATGCTAGAGCAAACACAATCTCCTAGAAGCTTGTCCTGCATAGCATTGCATTGCCAATTATTCGATGAAGTACCACCATTGCTACACATACTCACTATGGGAAGCACTAAATTATTCTTTTTAGGTTTATGAATGTCATGTACTGCTTTGCTTTTTATAAAAAAAAAAAGAAAGAAAAGGATATGAAAAACTACCTGTGCCTTTATTGTGTCTCTTATTTAGGTCTCTTTTGATTTTTATTATAGGGCTTTGACTTCTTGTGTTGGTATTGTAACCTTCATATATTTGATCAAACCTTTCACTTTATTTCTTTGTTTTTACCTTAGGCTCAGCAAACTATTGCATTCATTCCCACTGGATACGCGGTTAAAAGATGGAAGTAAGTAGTGGAAATGGGAACAGTGGCACTATGAACATATTGGGGTTGATTTACTAAAACTGGAGAGTGCAAAATCTGGTTCAGCTGTGCAGATCAGCTGCCAGTTTTTTTTTTTTTTTTTTGTCAAAGCTTAATTGAACAAGTTGAAGTTAGAAGCTGATTGGCTACCATGCACAGCTGTACCAGATTTTGCACTCTCCGTAATTAGTAAATCAACCCCCATTGTTTTCTTTTCCTTTGTGGTGTTTTATTTTCGATTTGCCAAAGATCTCCGGAGTGGGGTGGGGGATGTGCATAATCCTTCCCATGAATAAACTTTATTAATTGCAGAAGTAATTTTACCAGTTAATGATACCTTGTCTCTTGCTATCAGTTGAGCAACATGCCTACTTCTTCTTCTTAAATACATGCTTTTTGCTAAAACTACAATTGAATTATACATTTTCTGAGCTGTATAAATTTTGTAAAGTGTGCCTTCATCTGGTGAGTGTACCTTGTCTCTTGCTATCAGTTGAGCAACATGCCCACTTTTCCTTTTCAATACATACTTATATGCTACAACTACAATTGAGTTCTACATTTCCTGAGCTGTATAAATAGGTTTTGTAAAGTGTGCCTTCAGCTGGTGAGTGTAAATGTGTAGGTTTACAATATATCTGTATGTCACATTGGAATATGAATAGTGTTATAGTAATACATTGTAGTTATAACATTTTTTGGATGTCTTTATACTTTGCTTTATCTAGGTTTATTTTGGCAATCTCCAAAGCGACCCCCTACTCCAGTACAGTTTGACATAACAGACCCATTGTAAGTATAGGATTTTTGCTATTAATGGTTTCTAAACTGTAAAAGAATAAGGGATATCATAAAGTAGTGAATGTGACATTCACCAAACATTCACTGAGTGTTTTAGTGAATGTCACATTCACAGCTTTACAGATATGCCCCTATTTATTTAAATTCAGACAGTGGTTAGTAATATAGTTAGTAAAATATGTGTTCTGATGCCATGTGTTTCTTATTTCTAGACATGTCAGCTTTATAGTTAGCGCTGCCAAACTGTATGCAGAAGTCCATGAAATCCAGCTCAGTGAAAAGGTAAATGTACAGAATGGAGTGAGAGTGCTTTTTGCTGCAAGGCAGGATTGGAATTATAGTAATTTACCCAACAGCAGAAGTAGTTTTGCAATTACCAGTTAGGTGAGGTCAGTATAATCTATGTTACTTGGAATTCTTACCCACAAGAAATCATGAAGGCTATAGGTGGCCATACATTATACAATTTTCTTGAGAATTTTGCTTTAGATTTACCAAACACCATATAATATGAAATCAAACCTAAACAACACCTTCAATTGTATCCACTTAGGCAGGCCCTTGCACTACATAGTTGAAGGTATATCTAAAGGAAAATGGACAGAAATTTGTAAGAAAACTGTATAGTGTATGGTCTGCCTAATTCAAGGACCAGAACTGAAACCACTGGTATAACAGGGATCACAGTTGCTCCATGGGGCCCTGGGGACTGCCTGTCAACTCCTGTTCTTTAAAGCAGAAGCAGATTTCTCCTGTGTATCACAATGTGCTGTTCCCTTCTACTTTGCTGAAAGAGTTAATATACACCCCTTAGTCATCCTGTCAAGACATATATTATCTCCCTCTGCACAACCCCCCCCCCCCACACACACATGCCCTGTGATCTCTTATCTAGAACTGGACACAAGATGAAAAGAGAACAGGTAGTGTTGTGGCTGTTCTGAGGCTGAGAGCCCATCTCCTTGTGTCAGTGCTCAGTGTAGGGCAGACAAGGAATCGCCCTCAGCAGGCTCTGTAATCCAAACTGTACAGGTCAAATGTGTTAATGTGCCATTCACTAGACAGCAGCATTAACTTTCACATTGTGGATACTACAGTCTGGCCTGCAAAGTGCACTGGGAATGGTTATTATTATTTGAGCATATGTAATGGAAATGTCCTTCAGTGTGCAGTAAGCCAAACTTTTATTTATTTATTTGTTTGTTTTTTGCATACAGACAAAAGCGAGATGAACACCTAAAGAAACCAAGGCTGGTTCACACCATGCTTGGAGAGGAATCGCACGGGAACGTGCTATGCGTTCCTGTGCAATTCAGACTGCATGCAAAACACACTCCATTTGCGATCTGCAGTGGGTGTAAGTAAGAAGTTAATGACACCCCAAACACAGGTCACAAGCACAGTGTGTTTTTCCACACCAGATCGCATGGTACTTTTTGTTGCAGTGCATTTTAAAAAGTAGTGCATGCAATACTTTGCGGTGGTGCAGTGCAATTTCTGTCCATTCAAAATGAATGGGCTGAGATCACATTGCGCAGAACTGCATGTGAATTCACAGGAACTGCAGGGTGTCACTGTGCATATCGCATGCAGTTTCTTGTGTGAACCGACACTGGACTAATGGAGTGAGATTAAATGAAGGCAAAAAAAGAGGGAAAGAGAAGGGGAGAGATGGGGGAGAGAGACTGAAAGAGAGAATGAGATGGAAGTAAAGTTTGAAAATTTAAGAGACCGAGACAGCAAGAGAGGAGTATACAGCAAGAAGGGGAAAGTGAATAGGAGAGGAGAAGAGAGAAAGTTTAATGATTTCACTAGGGGGATGGATATAAAAGGATGTAATATATTCTTGCAAACGTTTTACATTCTAAACTGGAGTCTGCTTATAAGTATTCAAAATAATTGGAGAGGTATACCTAAATGTGGACAGCTTCTAAAAAATCTTTTGAAAATACCCTCTCAATATGTAAATAAAGATCTGAAATAACTTCGAGCATACTGTGCGCAATGGAAGCAGCATGTGGTGGTTGGGGGCCCCCAGGTTAACTTTTGCATCCGGGCCCACAAGCTTCAAGATACACCTTTCAAAAAACGTATTCTTTTGAACATAAGGAATTGATATTAATGTTTCTGGGTTTAAATAATGATTATGAGGTTTCTGTTGCCTTTTTACTTTATCAAAGCATATTAGAAATGCTAATTCAGGCACACAATCCACACATTCAGACATCTGCACATTTTACTATACGCACTACCACATGCAAACTCATTCACACGCTGACTCGCACAATGGTCTCCATATTTCCTGATTTTCAGGTTTTCTCCCACCTAAAAACATTGGGCTTGGTACTGAGAACATAAGTGATCTTTCTCACCTTTGCCTCCCCCATGTCTGTCATGTCACCAAAGTCTCAGCAACCGCTAATTAACTTTTGACCTTTGGGTATTGAATTATTTAACTTTGTGATGTGTGTATTCTGAAGGTACCCCAAGATACCTGGGGAAGATGCACCAAGAACTATGTATTGCATAAATAAAATTATGACATACTATGAATAATAAAAGATGAGAGTACTGTCAAGGTGTGATAAAGTAGGTTGTTTGGTACCTGAGGCATTTCTTAGACCACTTTCCAATTTGCTCAGCTCCCACATATGCCTACCCTGTGCCGCTCACATGGTAGTAGCTGGACTCTACCATAGAAGGCAGTTGTGAATATAAGGATAGTTCTCTGTTGTTATACGAATGGACCCCAATCAAATCTTAATAGACACAACCAGAGAGGAAATCTCCATAAATTGGAGGACACTACCCTTTTAGACATCTGTGACTGAATAAATCTCCATTGGAATATCTACCCTCATTTCTTTGATGACAATTACTAAATATTATGACTTTTTGGTTACTTTTGGTCTCATTGTTAATGGCCTACCTAGCAGGGGCACAGGTGGCAGAAAAAACCCAGTTATGTCAAGTCATACAAGTTTTGTCTGTACATACACTTTAAACAATATGCAATGAACTAAAGGTATGGTTGCAAAACTTGGTGATGAGTACTGATACATGCTGCTTGGTTTTTACAATTTTTGTTTTGTTGCATGCACTATTCAAATTAAGACAAAGTTCAGGCATTCCTTGGAATAGCAGCACCTTGGTAATCCAATGAGAACTGCATACTGTGCAATACAGGTTAAGGGGCTCCTTGGTCATGCAGGAATGGCCAGTTTCCCAAGCCAGCGGTATGCATCACTATTTTGTAGTGGTTACTAGCCCTTTTTCATTTCTATAGCTGTAGAGGATGAAGTAACCTGTAACAGTCAGGATTCCATTTTCTGTAATCTTCCTTCACTAAAATAAATATAAATTTTGTGAGTTTTTGCATTTTGCTCTTAACCCTACTGTCAAGCATACACATACAGTGAGGAACAGAAGTATTTGAACACCCTGCGATTTTGCAAGTTCTCCCAATTCGAAATCATGGAGGGGTCTGAAATTCACATTGTAGATGCATTCCCACTCTGCGATACAGAATTAAAAAAAAAAAAAAAAAATTCAGGAAATCACATTGTATGGTTTTTGAAGAATTTGTTTGTCTTGCACTGCTGAACATAAGTATTTGAACACCTAAGAAACAGCAAGAACTCTGGCTCTCAAAGACCTGTTACTGTGCCTTTAATAAGTCCACCTCTACTCCACTCATTAATCTAACTTAGTAGCACTTGTCTGAGCTCTTTAAAGACACCTGTCCACCCCACAGTCAGTCAGACGCCAACTACTACTATGGGCAAGACAAAAGAGCTGTCAAAAGACACCAGAGACAAAATTGTGGACCTCCACAAGGCTAGAAAGGGCTACGGGGCAATTGCCAAGCAGCTTGGTGAAAATAGATTAACTGTTGCAGCAATTGTTAGAAAATGGAAGAGGCTAAAGACAACTGTCAGTCTCCCTCGGACTGGGGCTCCATGCAAGATCTCACCTCGTGGGGTATCACTGATGATAAGACAGGTGAGGAATCAGCCCAGAACTACAAGGGATGAGCTGGTCAATGACATGAAGAGAGCTGGGACCACAGTTTCAAAGGTTGGTAGAACACTACGCTGTCATGGTTTCAAATCATGCATTGCACAGAAGGTTCCCCTGCTCAAGTCATCACATGTCCAGGCCTGTCTGAAGTTTGCCAATGACCATCTGGATGATCCAGAGGAGGCATGGGAGAAAGTCATGTGGTCAGATGAGACCAAAGTAGAACTTTTTGGTCTAAATTTCACTCGTCGTGTTAGGAGGAAAAAGAAAGGATGCGTTGCATCCCAAGAACACCATCCCTACTGTGAAGCATGGGGGTGGTAACATCATGTTTTGGGGGTGCTTTTCTGCGAAGGAGACAAGACAACTGCACTGTATTAAGGAGAGGATGAATGGGGCTATTTATTGTGAGATTTTGAGCAACAACCTCCTTCCCTCAGTCAGAGCATTGAAGATGGGTCGTGGCTGGGTCTTCCAACATGACAACGACCCGAAGCACACAGCCAGGATAACCAAGGAGTGGCTCCGTAAGAAGCATATCAAGGTTCTGGAGTGGCCCAGCCAGTCTCCAGACCTAAATCCAATAGAACATCTTTGGAGGGAGCTGAAACTCCGTGTTGATCAGCGACAGCCCCGAAACCTGACAGATCTAGAGGAGATCTGTGTGGAGGAGTGGGCCAAAATCCCTGTTGCAGTGTGTGCAAACCTGGTCAAGAACTACAGGAAACGTTTGACCTCTGTAATTGCAAACAAAGGCTTCTGTACCAAATATTAACACTGATTTTCTCAGGTGTTCAAATACTTATGTTCAGCAGTGCAAGACAAATAAATTCTTTAAAAATCATACAATGTGATTTCCTGAATTTTTTTTAAAATTCTGTCACTCAGAGTGGGAATGCACCTACAATGTGAATTTCAGACCCCTCCATGACTTCTAAGTGGGAGAATTTGCAAAATCGCAGGGTGTTCAAATACTTTTGTTCCTCGCTGTATATGTGGCCTCATGCACCTGGGTCTTTATCCATGAATTTTTACGTGCTACTGTGTTTATGCTGAGAGTAGGATGCACAGCATTTTCCCAGCACAGACTGAGCTGTCACCAACACTTATGGGTTTTGTACTAACAGCTGATAACTTGGGAGGACCAGTTGTCTGCCACCTGATCCATGATAGCCTGTAGCATTAGGTTTGTATCTTCTTCACCTTGCTGTAGGAGAACATTATAAACAAAAATAAACATATTTAAAAATGCAGATAAATTAGCTAGATCAGGGTTTGATCTAGGTCAAAGTCAGGATCAAAGGTCATGTTCAGAATCAAAGTCATGGTCATCGTATTTTAGGTAGGAACAAAAAAAAAACTTTTTTTAAATTTGGGGTCAGTGACAGTGTGTTTCAGGTAGGATGAAAAAAGCAAAATGTGCACATTGTTTCTGGGCCCTACTATGGGTACACATAACAATTAATATACGCATATGTGATATCGCTGTGATAATCAGGAGTAGGTGAATTTGTTTTAGTTTGTTCTTTATTGGTAGATCATGGTAATAGCAAAAAAAGTATACAGCTAATTTAAAAAAAAAATGTTTTACTATTTTGTGCTAGTTTTACTTTGATGATGCTAATAATAAAAACTTACCTGGATAAACTAAATAGCTTATAATATGTAAAATTTTAATAATACAAGTCAAAGTTGTGAAACTGTATTCAGGCATTAGGATTTGTTTTATCATTGTAATGAATAGGCTGGACTTAGTGACATAGACTTAGTTCAGATTTTCTGGCATGTTACAATAGCTATTGTCTTTGCACAGTTTATCTTAAACATGGGAAAGCTGTATTTTGTTTCAGACATAATTAACAAAGTTCCTTAATATTTCAAAGTTGGTTATTTCTATTTTTTTTCTGTACTTGCAGGATTTGGCTCATGATGTCGTCCAGAAAATTATAACAGGGATGACCATCAAAGAATTCACACCTTCCAACAAGGTATCTATATTTTTTTTCCCTGTAAGACAAGATCAGGAAAAAGGGTGGACCAAGCTAATATTGTTTCTAAAACCATTTTCTTTCCATTAAGGGGCACAGGATAACCCTTCCTACAACCAGCATGTCTTAGTTTTTTTGCTTGTGTCCTGGGAAGATGGATGGAAATATTAAAAAAACGCCAAGTAACAGAGAGCAGCCAATTAGAAATCATGTATACATAAAGTATGCATTAACATTGTTACATTTGTTACATTCAACAGAACTGACCCTGAACTGTTTTTATTTTTATAAAAGTGTTAACATTGCACTTAGAATAGAAGGTTTTTTTTTTTTTTTAGGTTGTTGAAACAGATGAAACTGCAAAGAAGCCTGACCAGATTCAAATAAGTAGTGAAGATGAGAGGATTGCAGTTTTGCAACTTGAAAAGGTCCTTGCAGAAGGCCGGGCATCAAAAGGTAATTTCTACTTTTTGATTTTGTGTGAAATAAGAAATCTCTGCAACAAATGGCAGTATGTTTAGGCACTAGAGATGACTATGGTGTACCATCTTCTTGTCACAGGAAGGCACGCAGCACAACTAAAGACTAAACCTTGTTTTAACCGTCTTTTCTCTGTTGGCTTAGATACACCCATGTTCCATCATAGCAACTGTATACTTTGAGCCTCAGTTCACGCACCACATCACAATTGCACCCTGTTCATACGAACCGCTGCGGGTGTGTATGTTAAGTTAACAACACCTCAAAATCGGTCCGCAAACGCGTTGCGATGTGCAGAATCGGATCACATGGGTGTGAATACCCATGCAATCTGATTCTAGTTTGGACCAAAAAAGAAGGTGCGGATGCGGTGCGATTTGAGCCATACAAAATATATGACTCAAATCACATCTCACATGATTCCCATGTGATTTGCACAAGAATGCGATGTGGTTCCTGTGCGAATCAAATGCGATATACTGCACAAGTGTGAACCCAGGCTCCGTGTTGAGAGAATTGAAAATATATTCAGGGGTAAAATAACTCAATCCCTTCTAGTAAAAACACATTACATTACAAGTGTCCATTTATAAACCATTTTTTTTTTTTTTTTTTTTTTTTTTTTTTTTTTTTTTTTTTACTTTTCACATTTGGACAGCCTTCGTTGACAGATACTGTATATCTGCAGATTTTATATTTTGCGTGTATTCTAACAAATATTATGCTATAGATGAAAAATTGGAGTACTTTATCAGTAGGTACTGCCAGCTGCAATTGCTGCAATTCTCAGAAACACCCTTTGTTTTTTGGACTTGCTGTGGAAATGTTGATGGAATAAGACTAGAGATTGAGCACCAGGAATGTTTTTCATGTATTATTTAATTGATGCTACTTCCAGGAGCAGGACAGACTGTAAAACTGAAAATGTCACTTGGAGTGTTGGAAATTCATAAATTTACAGTAAAGAAGATATCTTCTGCCTTCTGGTTTGCATAAACCCATCAGGATTTTAACTTGCACTTATAGTTAATAATTATGTTCAGTTATGATCAAATGTCACAATAAAGCTTGTAAACTGCTGCTCTTAAAACGTGTAACTTGGTGGTTTTCAAATTATAGACTATTGGGGGGGCCTCACATAATGTTTTATGTAATATATGTTTGTAATTATATAGTAAATATATGTAATGCTTGAGAGGACTGTCAGGGACTGCAAACCTAGAAGAGTAAATGGTGGTCAGAGACTGTGGACATGCTACATTTGTGGCTTGAGATATGTTGCAGAAGATAATACGAAACTGGGGACATATTAAACCGAGCTAGTAGACATCACTGCTATTACCCCTAATCAATGTTTCCACAACAGTTTACTGAGGTAAAAGGGCCGCACATCATATGCCAAAGGGACGCAGGTTGGTCACTAAGGATGTAACCCCTTGGTATCCCTAATTAAGCCCAATTAACTCTTCTCTCTAATAGGACACAAACCATAAAACTATTTTGAAAAGCACAATTGAAAATACCTTTGCCAAATTTGTACCAAATAACCATATATTTAAAGCAGACCTTGCACTCCAATCAAAGTCTGCTTATTTAGTAATGGCCCCTTCCCCCTTTGCTAGAACACTGCACAAAAATGAAAATCTGGGGTTGAAAAATATTTAATATATTTACCATTTAGAGGCCAATAGCCAAGATGTGAAAAATGGCTCTGGACTGTACCGGCTTAAAGTCCACATATGGCCATACCATTTTACTTAACCAAATTTGGTATTATTCATGATACTTTCAATCAGTGATTTCTGGTGATCGGCGTTGTGTCCTTACTAGAACATATATAGTTTCTAGGAACAAGCAAACCTATACTGTGTTGTTGATTTTTGTTGCGTGTAAGTGCAGGGTATTTGGAACTCTACCAATAGAGGGTGTTGTTAACTGATTGTTCATTTTTACATCTCTATTGTTTTGTTTTTTTTTTTCTTTGCTAGATGACCTCCATATGAAGCTCTTATCATTTGAGAAAGATGATGACGGCAATGAACATATCAACTTCATCACAGCAGCTTCCAACTTGAGAGGAAAAATGTATATAACATTGAGCCAGCTGACCGACTGAAGACCAAGCGTATTGCCGGAAAGATAATCCCTGCTATTGCTACAGCCACAGCTGCTGTCTCTGGCCTGGTTAGTGGTAATATGCTTGTAACCTAACATGAAGACTGTTGGAACTTTTACTGATTTCTATAAAAGCTAATAAAAAAACACATACTTGCCAATAGCAACCATGCAGGTAGACAATAGACAGCAGTTTGATGTTTTGGCACAGGCTGACCCAAGAATGATCTTTTTAATTGTACATCACAGGACACAGGGCTTCTTCATGTTTATGACTGTTTAGGCTATGCTGCCCCCTTCAGATGAGTGGATTGGCCACTGGCCAAATCAGGTGTCTTGGTTCTTACCAGACACTCCTGTCAGCTGGGTGACCTTTCCAATGCTGTTTTGTACAGATCTAGTACTTCAGCAAGAAAGGTCAGCTTACTTCTAAATCTCTAACCTTATCTGGTATTTCCACAGTTTCAGGAGCACATTCATCCAATTCCTTTCTATCTGGGTAAGAAACCTCAGGGGCTCTTTCTGGTTTATGTGAATAGCTGTCGGGGGTCTCAGTAGGTTGGAAATCCTGGGACAAAACCATGGGTGCTTTCCACCCCACCCCCTTTTTTCAGGAGGATGAGGTGTCCGCAACATCTTTTCAACAAGGATGAGGGGGGACGTGAAAGTTGGTGAGTATCAGGAATCATCTTTGGAGAGTCATTTCAGGGATTTCTCGGTCTCAAAGGACCACGGTGGGCTTGTGGTACATACAGATTCAAAGTTGTTGCTGCTAGCGGCTGCCGAAGAACCCCAAATCTTTTCCTGTGCATTTTCATTTGCAGGAATTGATGTATGCCATTTTGATCTCACCCAGAGATGGTGTTCTTTCCACCCAAGCGGTTTGCTCAGCAGTACCCCATGAAGGATGAATTCTACAAAAATAGGGGTTCTCCAGCTGTTGACCTGGCCATTTCCTACTAATGGTCCTGGTCTTCAAAAACTCTACAGATAAGATGTTTCATGCCCTCAGGCAACACTGCGACCAACAGTTCCTAAACGTTTTCCGAGCCCTTAAAGTTTGAGCAAAGCATATGCTTTGTTCCAGAGTAGAGAACCCAGGGGAAGCTGCCATGTGGCAATACCTGGGGGATTTCCTGAGGTTTTGAGTTAACTTCTGGAGTATTTGAGCTTAGTCCTGGACATGGCACAAGCCAAGGTAATTCTGCAGTTTAATTCTCCTTCCCTACTACTCTTACTTTGAGTCCCTGAGGTCAGTTGGGAGTCCCTCGATTTGTGTCTGTGTGAGGGTATTGGGGAAAATGGTGGCCATCTTCAAAGCAGTTTCATGTGCCCAGTTTCACTCTATGGCATTACAACTCAATTGCCTATAATTTTGGCAAAAGATCAACACTTTTTATTTACCCATGCACCTGACACTCAAGGCAAGATCAGCTCTAGAATGGAATTCCATGCAGATGCTTGATGCTGAAAAATCTTTCCTTTCGATGACTTCAAAGGTTTTGAAGGTGGATGCAAACTTGCTGAGCTGGGAAGATGTTCTGGAGAACTGCTTGGTTCAGGGAACATTGTCAGCGAAGGAAGAGTTTACTGATCAACAATTTGCAAGTTCAGTCAATTCAGCTGGCTTTTTTGGCATTGGTCTGGCTGGCTTCTTGGTGTTTCCATCAGGATGCAGTCAGACAATGTCAGAGCTGTGGTATATGTCAAACATCAAGGGGGACATGAGGACATGCTGCTCAAGAGGAAGTGGACCTGATCTTGGCCTGAATGGAGCTTCATGTTCACGCTCTCTCTGCCATTCACATTCCCAGTGTGGAAAAATTGTCATGCAGACTTTCTCAGCCATCAGCAATTGAATCCAAACAAGTGGACCTTTTACCAAGAGGTGTTCCCAGTGATTTAGGTGCAGTGGGGGACATCGGATGTTGATCTCCTGGCATTCAGATTCGGCAACAAGCTGAACAGGTGTGTGTTCTGGACCCCCCAGGGATCCTCAGGAACTTGTGATGGATGTCCTGGTGACTTCTTGGTATCAGTTCTCCCTGATCTAAATTATGCTGCAACGTCTTTCTCGCTTGTTGCGCAAGATAAAGTTGCAGAGCAGTCTGAGAATTTTGATTGCACCAGCTTGGCCAAGGTGAATGGGGTATTCAGACATTGTAATTCTTCTGCCAGACAAGCCAAAGGCTCTTCCAGATCAGCCAGACCTGTTTATGCTGGGTCCAATCTTCCATCCTGATTTACAATTGCTGGCTTCAACGGCATGGCAGATGAGGCCCACACCCTGAGGTACAGTGGTGTTTTATGACTCTGTAATTCTTATCCTTTTCAGGGCAAGGAAGTCTACCTCCAGGAAGGTGTACTATTGTACACAGAAGGCTTATTTTGCCTGGGGCTCGCAAGCTGCATCTATGACAATATGTATCTATGACAATATGTCACATGGCCCCCTTTGTTTCCGTGGGACCTTAATTTGGTGTTGTCTTTTCTACAGACTTCTCTGTTTGAGCCTATCAGAAAGATTGCTTTGTCGCTTATCAGGTGCCAGGGTTTTTTTTTTGGGTGCCATTACATCTGTTCATATGGTTTGGAGTTGGAATCTTCACTAATTCTATACTAGGAGAAGTGATGCACTGAATATATCGGCCACCGAAATCTATTGGCTGAAAATAGGGCTATCAGCGTTTTTCCGAAAAAAAAAAAAAAAAAAAAAGGTGCCTATAATGTCATTGACTTCAATGCAAAATTGCGTCCTATTGACACCAATGCAAAATTGCCCCTTATTGACTTCAATGCAAAGTTGCGTCCTATTGACTCCAATGCAAAATCGCATCCCATTGACTCTACTGTAAAAAACTCCTCCCTATCAATTCAATGCAAAATTGCGTCCCATTGATTCCAATGGAGAAACGCCCCCAATTGACTCCACAACAAAATTGTGTCCCATTGACTCCAGTGCAAAAGCACCCCCTATTGACAATGCAGTAACGCCTTAAATATATATATATTTCATTTTATTTTCATCCCAAATTTTTGTGTTACTTTCAGTAAGTTATTTTACGTTACTGGGTGGTATTTTTTTTAATTCATATTCATTTAAATTCATGATATTAATTAAAAAGATGAATATAATCCAATTATATATATAAAAAATATATTTTTTACAAAAATTTTCCATTTCAGTTTTCGACCAAGTGCATCCTACATTTTTGGTTTTGGTCCAGAATTTTCATTTCAGGCCATCGAGATGCAGGCCCCAATACCACTAAAAAGGTGTTTTAGCCTGCATCTTGATTTGCTATTTCTAGGTGGATTTGTCATTTCTCAGGCCTATGATATCAAAGGCAAGGTTCCTTCCTTCTTTCCCAACTAGGAGTGTCAGTACTTCTTGAGCTATTCAGCGTCAACTTTCTGTTTTTCACTTTCTAAGGCTGCTACATGGTCTTATCTTCACATTGTTTCACATGTTTCTAAGTTTTACTATCAAGGATGATGTTCATGTGTTTTGGGACACCAGTTTTTGGACAAAAGGTCCTGTATGCTGCTATGTAATAGTGGTTTCCCAGTCTGGGGTTTTAAGCTTGTTGTTGGTACAATGTTGCCCACTCCTCATGTTCTGTTCAGTGCTTTGTGCCTTCCAAGCAGTCATGAATGATTTGGAAAAACCCTATATATAGTGATGGTCCTGTGATGTAAAATAATTTAAGATTTTTGGTTTACCAGTTTCCGAAAAAAATCCCTTTCTTGCTGTACAGCAAAATTGCACAAATCTCTTCCAACTTTTGTCTGTGCGCCAATTGTTTGGTGAATTGCGTCCTAATTGGGAGGAGTTATTCCTAGGCAGGGTTCCCTGCTTTTTTTTTTTTTTAGTCTGTATACCTTGTGCTGCTGCAAAGGTCCAAGGTCTGGAGGAGGACCAGAGAAGGCAAAATTGAGTCTGCTGATTGCTGAGACCAGAAAAATTGGCATTGACGGGACGGGGGGGGGGGGGGGGGGGGGGGTGCTGCGGCTACACAGAAAGGTGCAGTATCTGTAGAAGGAGTTCTATCCTCCTTTCTGCTGCTGAATACTGAGACAGGGAAGAGGGGGCGGGCAGAGACTAGCCTCTCAGTGGCTTCACAGAGAAGTGCTGGATCTGTAGGAGGAGTTCTGTCCTCACTGCTGCCAACTGCTGAGGGTGGAGACGAAGGGGGTGTTGCGGTTGCAGAAGAGGTACGAGGGTCACATGAAATGGCCAGATCCACGTGCCTTGTGTTTGACGTGTTCTAGAAAAAAAAGGACAGTCAACAGCATTCATAATAAAAATTGTATTGTAAACCAGATCAGAGGAGTGTAGCTGCAGTAAAATGGGTAACTGTGAGAAATTGATCTAACTACACAGCAGAGAAACAAATGGTGTGATGTATGAGAGCAGCTAGACAGAAACACCTAAATGCAGATTACAAAACAAACCTAAACTCAAAATGTACTTCTGTTGTAAAAACAAAAAAAAAAAAAATAGGAATACATGTTAAGGGTTCAACATAAACCTCTCTGCTATAACAAGGCAACTATGGTGCTCTGGTTCCAATTTATGACCTAATAATTTAATGGCTATGAGCTAGGGAACTGAAGTCAGCATAGTCTTCAAAGAGAAAAAGGCTAGATTCACATCTATGCAGTTGTGATTTGATGTGGTTTTTTCAGCTCATTTTGCAGTGCATTTTGCATTTTTTTATGCGTTTTGACGTTTTGGTTGTTAAATGGGTTGCCGCCGCGCCCTTAACATCGGATGACTCATTAGCTCTCAGTGGGATTTCCCGATGACAACTGAATGCAAACAAAAGAATGCTGGCATTAAAAATAAATAAAAAAAAAAAATAAAAAACTGTGTGCCCCCAATCCTTACCAGGCCCTTCGGGTCTGGTATTGATTTTGACGGGATCCCCACACCACAATTTATAAACAGAAAGGAGTGGGTAAGGTCAAGAAAGCAGGGGGACGAGGAATGGGGGAAGCCGATGAGAGTCCCAGAAGAGCCTCGGCTCTTGTGCACATCTTGGGGGGGGATCAAACTCAGGTAAGTATTGGGGGGGGGCTGGGGCTGCGGAAGGAAGGAACTGCATCCTGAAGGTTTTTTTTATCTTAATGCATAGGGGATCATTGTGATTAACGCTGGATCTTCTTTGGGGAACATTTTTTTTTTTTTTTTTTTAAATAAAGGACTTGTCAAAAACTGCCTCCTGTTTTTTTATTTACACTACACTTCTTTTTTTGGCTGAATGAGTAGTGGTACTATGTATCCCATACTTATTCACATGGGTGGGGGGAAGGGGAATTCACATTGAAGGGGACTTATTAAAGGGGACTTCCAGATTTCGATATGCCCATCCGCCCGCAGACCCCCAAAACCACTCACCAGGGTTGTGGGGAAGAGGCCATTGTCAACATGGCAACAGGGTGCTTTGGGAGGGGGCACATGTTGGGGAAGAGGGGGTTAGATTTTGAGGCATACCCCACACCCTTTTTAAAAAAAAAATTTGGTGTGGGATTACTCCTACTGTTTTTTTCAAATTTCTTTTGTTCACACTCCGTTGTTAGCAGGGAAGCTCTCAGCAAAAAAAAAATTTTTTTTTTTTTTTTTTTTTTTTTTTGGTGCGGGACCATTAAGTCTATTGAACCAACAGTGCACCGTGTTGCAGTTAAAAAAAAAGGCCCTGACTCTTTCCAAAAACGCAGCAGCAGAAGAAAAACGCATAGATTTGAACGTGTCCCATAGGAAACCATGTTAAATGAACCGTAGTGCATCTAAATGTGAACCAAGCCTAAAGACTGCTGGTGTAGGCACCCACATTTAAAGCTTATGCAGGCCTTTTGAGCTAAAGCAAGGTTGGAGTCCGGTGAACTGGAGTATCGCAAGATGTCCTTTAACACGTACATCTGTTACACTTACCCATTCTTCCTAATGTCTTTATGATTGTTCAAATCATTACTACTACTCTTACTATAATTTTTTTAAATGAGGAAATGCTTTATTTAAAGCTCTTTAGCTTCCACAGCCCTCCTGAAAACAATAGAGGACTAAAGTAGCATAGTATGGTTAAGTTGTAGCTCAGATCTTGACTTTGTTAATGTTTGTTGGGATTATATATCTTATTGTAAAACCATTGCTGGTCTATACACTTTATGCTTATTGTGCAGTGCCTGGTTTCACCAGTAGGTAGGTTTACAAATAAAATCAGTGCTGGGATGTCTTGAAAAAACCTAGTTGCTGGAAGTGATGTGGACTCAGCTGTGTTACTACCCAAAGAAGTCCAGTAAACGGGTTTCCAGTTTTTCTTCAGTCCACAAAGTATGATTACTCAGCAAATGCAAATCATCAATTCTTACTGAACTTACTTGCCTAACTTCCATCCTAGGTTGCCCTGGAGTTGATTAAAGTGGTTGGTGGGCATCCATTTGAAGCTTACAAGAACTGTTTCTTTAACCTTGCAATTCCAATCATTGTGTTCACGGAAACAGCAGAAGTAAAAAGAACACATATCAGGTAATGTAACGACGGAATGTCATAAAGGAATATCCTTTGTTTTTCCCATATTAGGCATTTTATATGAAATCTCATTTATATTTCCAGATCAGATCTTGTAAGAGAAATTGAAACTAGTGCTTATGTGAAGCTATGGAATCCATTTGTTTAATTACTATTGTAGTTTTAAAGGCACTCTAGGTAAATTTAAAAATCCACCCTGGCAGTAGACTTTCCCACCCTGCAAGGGTTAAAGTGGTTATAAAGCCTTGTGTTTTTTTTTTTTTTTTTTTTTTTTTTAAAATAATAAACACATCATACTTCACTGTTCTGTGCAATGGTTTTGCACAGAACAGCCCCGTTCCTCCTCTTCTCTGGGCCCCTTCTCCTTGCCCAGTGCTCCCAGAGCAAGCAAGCTGCTTGTAGGGGGCACTCGGGCATGCTTGCTCCTGAGCCATTTGTGTGTCCATAAGACACTTCAAGTGTGGCTCAGCCCTGCCCCCCAGTCAGTCTTCGCTGGCAATTGCTTGCGCTGATGTGTCTCAGCCAATAAGGAGAGAGAGTCCTGGAAGAGCCTCAGCTCTCGTGCACATCTCCGGATCGGACTCGGGTAAGTATTAGGGGAAGCTATGGAGGGAGCTGCACCCTGAAGGTTTTTTATATTCATACATAGAATGCATGAAGGTGAAAATCCTTCAGCCCTTACAACCACTTTAAGTGCTCATGTCTAGGGAGCTTTACCAGAGGCTTTATCACTTACCTCATTCACTCCGGCCGGCAACAACACTCCCCTGCTATGCCTGAAACTTCAGCCTGTGGGCAAGAACCTCAGCGTCATCACGTACAATACAGGAACATTAACCCTACATGGTGCGCTATGGAGACTGAAGTGCAACCAGAGCCAGTTGCAGCTTAAGCTGGCCATAGATTTAGTTTTTTGTTGTTCAGAAAAGTCAAAGACTGTAACCCCAATCCCCCCCCCCCCCTCCACACATTTGAGGTAGCATAGGGCAATGAAGGAATCCTCCCGCTATGTCATTGTAATCTGATGTCTGGGAGGTTTCCCCACCATCTGAATACACTGTTTTTAGGACAAATGCTGAACAAGGAGGGTATTTTCTAGCAGGGAGATTTATGGAGGTCGATTGGTAGACCACAGTGCCTATACATGGATCGAATTTCGTCCAGTTCCTGCTAAACTGGCCGAATTTCTATTCATCAATGAGCAGCTTTATAGGATGGGCCGCAGGCAAATGGTCACAGGGCCAAAGGGAGCCTGCTGGAGCGAGGAGTAAGGTAAGCATTTACTCCTTAATCCTCTGCCCCTAGACTAAATGAGCAAATAACCTTTGGAGAGTGGGGAGTCCCATTGCAAGGGTGATTTTTTTTTTTTTTTTTTTTTTTTTTTTTTTTTTTTTTTTTCTGGATTTGGGATTTAAAGAGCAACTCTACTTGAAAGATAGGGTAAAAGAAAGTTACATGTTCATTATGTATGCTAGGGATCCTTGGTACTGCTTGTCTGCGATGTACAATAATTCCACTCCCTGTGTAATGACAATGTTTATTTGCTGTTTTGGCTTTAACACCCAGTAAGTAAGGGCCTGCCTCTCTCGGTGTTTCACCTTTTGTGACTAAGACGTCTCCAGGTGAGAATCTGCAGAATGTACTGTTTGGCTCAGTCATTTTTTTTTCAGAAAGACATCATCGGTGTGCAGTCTAATTTTCACATTTCACAATCTCCCTTGGTCAGCCCCTAGTGTTCCCCACAGTGGAGGGAAGTGATTGGGGCCTTTGCAGTAGTGAGGTTTTTGTGGATTTGAATCTGAATGATTCCGAGAATCTGAATGTTTGTTATGATTTGTGTCACAGAAATGGAATTTCATTCACGATCTGGGACAGGTGGACAATCTTTGGCAAGGAAGACTTCACTCTATTGGACTTCATTAATGCCGTCAGGGTAAGATTGTGTTTCCTTATTCTGCAGGTAAACTTTGCCTCTTACCAGATTTTCTATATAATTGATTCAAAGATTACTAGAAATCCTAAGGTAAGCCCAGCACACAACAGAGTCTGTGTTAGTCTGTCTTCCTCTGAGATGGTATAAAAATTGTCTCCTCTTCTGTTTAGAGTAGAAGACCTTTGTATATACACTGTGTGCACAATTATTAGGCAAGTTGTACTTTTGAGGAATCATTTCATTATTGAACAACTGCAGTGCTCAATCCAAAATATTAATAAAACTCAAACCTGAATATTCAAAAAAGTAAAGGTGAGGTTTAGGAGAATATCTGTGTATACAATTATTGGGCAACTGTTAGTGTGCAGAATTTTTATGCAACTAAATGAAAAAACAAACATTTTCCCATCTCACTTGTTTATTTTCATCTGTTAATGTAAGAATAATAAACCAACTCAAAATTTACAAATAACCATTTCTGACATGTCAAAAAAAAAAAAAATCGGTGACCAATATAGCCGCCCTTCTTTTCAATAAGTCATAAACCTTCCATTCATGGGGTCTGTCAGCTTCTTGATCTGTTGACAATCAACTTTTTGTGCAGCAGCATCCAATGCCTCCCAGGCACTGTTCAGAGAGGTTTACAGTTTTCCTTTCACCGTACATCTCCCATTTAAGAAGGGCCCACAAGTTCTCAATAGGGTTTAGGTCAGGTAAGGAAGGGGGCCCTGTCATCATTCTTTTATCTGTAAGGCCTTTACTGGCTAACCACGCAGTGGAGTACTTCGATGCATGCGATGGAGCATTATCCTGCATAAATATGAAAGATGCAGACATTTTCCTCTACCACTGCTTGGAGAAATAGTTTTCTAAAAATTTGGCAGTAGGTTTGGGAGTTGATTTTGAGTCCATCTTCCACCCAAAATGTCCAACTAGCTAATTTCTAATAATACCAATACATTGTACTATTCTGATAAAAGTATTTAAAAAAAAAAAAAGAAAACATGTTAAAAAAATAAAATGAATACCATTTTGAGAATTATAAAAAAAGCCTTAAAATGTTTTTTTTTTTTTTTTTTTTAAACTACTTGCCGACTGCTTACCTGCAGGTGAGCAGCGGCTCTGGGCAAAGCGCATAATCTTACATTGCTTCCTATTTCGGGGTGTGAACGCGCCTGTGCCCCCACTGCATTTTTTGACTGGAAATAAAAATCCAGAACTGGCGGGTTTTTAGGGGAATTTTTTAGCTGTAAAAATGCTGTAATACTGAAAAACGCAGCAAAATGCGGTAAATTGTGGCAAACCAGCGTTTTTTTTTTTTTTGATTACTTTTTTTGACAAATAATTTTTTTGGTAAAAAAAACGCAGCTAAAAGCTAATACAAAAAATGCTGAAAAAAATCAAGTTTTTAACGTGACTTTACACAGCTAACATTACCAGTGTTATTAAAACGCCCGATGTGCATGGAGCCCAAACATCCTAAAGAGACTTGTGGTTCGCCCTGTTTGAGTTTATCATCAGTCTGACTTTCTCTTGGAGGGGACAGCCTGCTTCTCATTCCACTTTTTCTAGGTGGATTCTTCAGCTCCTTATTCAAGATTATAACCTCAGGGGCAAAGTTCCCCCTTTCCCATTCAAAGTTCACTCCATTTAGATCAGTTAGTGCTTTTGGGGCTTTTTTAACATCAGGCATCTTTTGCTCGGATTTGCAAAGCTGCTGCCTGATGTCCAGTTTACACATTTTGGCAAGTTTTACCAGGTGAATGTTCATTCTGATGCTTGCTTTGATCATGAGGTTTTTTCAGGCAGAGATGTGGGATCCCTCACTCCACCCTTGTTAACAGAATATTGGTTTGATTCTTGTCTCATTTGCTTTTACCCACCCCTCAGTCAGATTGCTTTTGGAGATCGCAGTGTTTTAGAACCCATAGTGTACTCCAAGAAAAGGATTTACAGGTATGACAAAAGCTACTGCTGTTTTTAATCCCTTGCCTATTGAACACTGTTTAGCTTTAACTTTCAGCTGTAATAGTATGCTGGAAGCTTCCTGTCTTATCACTCACGTGTTCCTCCTATCTTGGCTTGTGCATAGGGCACTTTGACTAAAGTGCTTGGCTGTGGAATCTTTGTGCAAGAAACATTTGATCAGCATGGCCTATTAGATTCAACATCCCAGAGCGCCGCTTGATAATATCAAGGATGCTATTGCCAGCAAGAGAACCCATTCTCCACAGTGGAAGAAGCCTATGAAGCAGGTGGCAAAGTCATCCCTTTAGTTTCTTCACTTCCTTAACTTCAGCATTGTGGCTCTCTCAAGCTTTGCTCTCCATCCACATGCAAGGTTTGGCACTCCAAGGTTGCCAAATCCTCAGACAAGCCTTACTCTGCATGAAAGTGCATCCTCACTTTTCAGTGTGGGTTGAGGTCTGTTGACCTTTGCAAATGTTTAGGCAGCTTGCATTCTAGATACTTACAAGCTCGAGTTTTGTTCCCTGCCCCTTCTTTTTCCTCACTTCAAAGCTTCTGCATAGACTATAAGAAAAAAAAGTGCAACATTCTTTTATCTTAGGACAAATCAGTCCTGTCTCTGGCAGGCTGGTTCAGTTAAAGCCAGGGACCAAGCTGTCCCTGGCTTGGAGGCTCAGGAATCCGAGTGTCAAGTCAGGAAAGTCCTTTCTTTCCACCTTTTGGATGGAAGGAGGAGGATTGTGAGGAGCCCTGGGCACTGGGTCTTAGGAGGAATCTCCTCTTCTAATAAACATCCTAAAGCTTCAGGCAATTTGGCTGTTGTGACAGACGCGGCATCAGACCCCTAGCCCTTTTCACAACTCGTGACCGAAGGACTAGCCAATCTAAAACCACGCTGTCACATGCGTAACAATACCACGCTCAGCTGCACCCTGCACAAAGATTTTCCAGCTAATGGACCACAATCCATGTACTGCAGCCTGAGAGCGATTGTTACTGGGTCAGGTTAATTATGCAATTAACCCTTCACACTGCCACCACCTCCTTTTTGTACAGAGAAAAACTCCCCAATCTTAGCAGTAACACTATGATGTTTGCATAAGCGTCTGTATACACACTGTCACCGCAGGCAGATGTATTCAGAAGTTTAAAACACACAGTAGCACTCTTCAGAGACAGGGATTCTTAGTTTGCATTAAAGAGCTTTAGAAACAGTTCAACACTTTTCAGATAATAGGATTTATTAATAAAAAGGTCAAAATGGTGCAAATAAAATATTTACAGAAAAGATGTAGCATATACATACATACATACATACATGGAAAACTAATACAAATGAGCGCAGAGAGAGGCCACTCCAGGTGGAAACATGTGAACAGTTAATCATGAGCTCACCACTGCTGCCTTGTTAATCATATGCATGATGAAGAGAACTGGAAAAAAAGGCGCTGTGGAAAATGCTCTCAGACAAGCACCTTAGTGGAGGTGCATCTTTATTGGGTGAGATAAAGTAGCAAGTATAATAAAATTAACCAGCCTGAAGTGGACAGTGTGATTCCAATGGACGGCCCGTCCGCTCTGAGGGGAGCTGAGATCAAAGAATGCTCCTGTCGGCTTCAAATCACGTGGTGTCAGCGTACCAGCGTCCTGGGTGGTGTCACCATGGCAAACGAAGGCAGTGTCCGGCGTTGGCTTCAGCTGGGAGCATATGTGGGGTTTACCAAGACGACATGTTTCGCGCAGTTGCGCTTTGTCAAGTCTCCAAAGCGCAACTGCGCGAAACATGTCGTCTTGGTAACCCTGGTAACCCACATATGCTCCCAGCTGAAGCCAATGCCGGACACTGCCTTCGTTTGCCATGGTGACACCACCCAGGACGCTGGTACGCTGACACCACGTGATTTGAAGCCGACAGGAGCATTCTTTGATCTCAGCTCCCCTCAGAGCGGACGGGCCGTCCATTGGAATCACACTGTCCACTTCAGGCTGGTTAATTTTATTATACTTGCTACTTTATCTCACCCAATAAAGATGCACCTCCACTAAGGTGCTTGTCTGAGAGCATTTTCCACAGCGCCTTTTTTTCCAGTTCTCTACATACATACATACATACATACATACATACATACATACATACATACACAGAGAGCAATAACACAACCGAGAGATAACAAAGAGGTTTAGAGAGGCAGAATACTTGCCGTCAGGCTTGATTTAAGCAGCTTCAAGGGTCCTGAACAAAAGGGTGCCTTATCTCCCAAAGTTGGTTCCTGATGTTAAAAGGGAGGTCTCTTCAACTTACTGCTCCAAGCATAACAGACTTTTTCTAGGAACCCAGCAGGGTGTCTCCTCAAAGCAGAGAACCAATCGCCTCATTTGGGGAGCGGTGTTTTGGGCGGGGAACTCAGGCTATGACCAAATCCCTCCCAGTTTATATCATGGTCAATAACCTTCCCTAGGTACATGTAGCAGCCTAGCCACTAGTAGATTAATATGCAGAATGATATCCTGAATGTCCAGACATCAAATATGCCATATCTTACTATTTCAGCTAGAACTATATGGCTTCTTACTCTCCTGTAGACTTTAACTAGGGGTGTAATATATCAGGCGACTTGCATTAAACTGAGCTATCTGAATATTTGCTTTGTTCGATTGTATGTATTCCCTATTTTAAGTTATGAAAAGTGTTTTTTTTAAATGGGATGTATGTTTTACGGCTATTCTGGAATGTGTTTCATGTCCAGTGAAGGGCTGGTTTATAACTTTACGATGAGCTTCAGAGCAAGAGTTTGCCAAACACCCTGGCATCAGCTAATTGGGTTTACAACCATGAAGGATATCCAACTGTGTCCTGTGCACTTCTGAACCCAGCACACAGGGGCCACGTGTCACTCAACAGAGAGGGAGGGGGGAGCTGATTTGGAGTGAGAAATTATACAAGATGGAGGGTCTTTGGCAAAATGGAGGTTCGCATCCATATTTGTACGTACAATTGCTACAGCTGTCCCTTCAGTGTTGGACCAAATTGT